CTCCTCTGTGGGCAAGGAAGGAGCCTTCACAGGGCCTGGCGCTGTCCCCTCACTCTTCTGGTTCAGAAAGCCTCATGTGGCATGAGGCAGGATGAGCAAAGCTGTGCATCTGCCTTGACTGCAGGACGCCATGCAGCATGCTGCGGAGTCACGAGACACCACACTGGTGGAAGAGCTGCTGCAGTGGTTCCTAAAGGAGGGCAAACGGGAGTGCTTTGCGGCTTCTCTTGTCAACTGCTACGACCTGCTTCCCCCAGATGTGGTGCTGGAGCTGGCCTGGAAACACAACGTGGTGGACCTGGCCATGCCCTACTTCATCCAGGTGATGAGGGAGTACCTTGGCAAAGTAAGTATCGCTCTGCTGTGGCTCCCTAAACACCACGTGGACAGCTGGAGGCTCTGGCATAGCTTGCAGAGGCCCTTGGTGGGTCCACTGGGGGCTAGCCTAGTTCGCCAGCCCTAGCTGCCTACCAGTGACCTCTTGTCTTCATACTCAAGTGTTTCTTTCCCATCATTAATATCTAGGAAATCTTCATGGGGAGCTCTGGGTGGAGTGGGTACTCCCCCTAAAGTGGCTCTCCCTTTCACTGCCAGGGTCATAATGCTGTGCGCAATGATGGCCCAGGGCTTCTTGGGGTAGCAGTGAGACAACAGCCCATGTCTCCTCAGCCCAGTCTCCAGAGGCCGTACTTGTGTCTGAGTGCATTATTTCTGTTACTTGTCCCTAGGGCTTTGCTCTAGCTTTGCTTGAAGGTATAGGAGTCTGATGAAGTAGCAGTATCTGATTTTAAAACTCTGTGTCAATGTCTTTTGAGTCCCCGTCTGGGTCTAGTTTGCAACTGTCCAGAAACCAGTGGCATCTGTTTCTTAATTCTGTGGGGAAGTCACTAAGTAGCATCTACTTGCCCATCCAACCCATAATTACCCTTAACATTTTCTCCTTTGTTTATATATTTTTTTTAAATATTTATTTGTGCATACAGAACTGGGGTACAGGCCAGAGGCTCAGGGGTGGTGAGAGGCTTCACCAGAGACAGAGTGAGGAACAGAACAGGCAGATCAATGAAGTACACTGCTGAGGGGAGCAGCGGGCGGGTCAGGAGAGGTCTGCCACGCCATGTGGTCACCTCCGGGGCAGGCGGGAATTGAACTCATGCGGAAGCGGCTTTAGATTCTCAGTGCAGTGCTTTAACCCGCTGTGCCACCAGGAAGGGCCCCTTTGTTTATATTTTAAACTGGAGTAACATACCTCACCTCCTTCAAGTCTAGAGGCCTGACAGTGCTTAAAGAAAACACCCGCCAGGCTGAGGCTTCTGTCATTGGTTGGAGTGCAAGGAGATCCCTTCCCAGGGTTAGTTGGGGTTAGGGAAGAAAGAGGAAGTGGTGGGGAGGTTCTGGCTTCAGACTGCAGAGCCTCCTGGAAACCATCTAGCCGCTGGCAAGCACAACCCCAGGGGCTGTTCAAGCCGCCACCACCGTGCTGCAGGAGAGGAGGGACTGCCAGAGTGCACATCTGAATGAGGCCTCATGGATATCAGGGATCAGGAAGGGTCAGCCCTGGCTTTATGGCCTGAGCCCCCTACTGCCAGCAAACACAGGTTGGGTGAATTTATAAGGGCTCCTGGTTCCTTAATTGCAATGGACAGCAGCTCCCTATAGGAGGTATTTGTGCCAGAGTTTTGGCTGTGGAAGCCACTTGACCCACCAGGCTGCTCTTCCCATCTCTCAGTTGTCTTCACCTGAAACTAGCCTGCCTGGATCCCATGGAAAGGAGTATGAATTTGGCTTTACTCTTTCTGGAGAAAAGCCCATGGGTTAAAGTATGAGGAACTAGGCTCACTCAGACTGTCATTGCTGCAGGAATTAGACACTCTCCCACAAAGACTTGGAGAAATACACTTCCTCTTCATGGTGAATCATGGCAGCCACGGTCATCTTGGTCAACATTGTAATCACTTTGCTAACCTAGGGTGAGACAGTGGGCCTGAGCTGTACCTCCCATCCTGCTAAAAAGACACTGTCCCCTGACCCCAGGTACCTGCTCTAGTTCTAGAAGGGGGGTTTCTTGAATGGTGGGGTATGGGCTGACTGACTCAGCTAACACCGTGCCATGAGGAGGAGGAGCCTGCCAACTTAGAAATGAGGACAGTAGCCTGTAAGGTAGAGTGTCTTCCACAGACAAACTGCACTCAGCCCCCTTATTAGAGAAAGCCCAGGGCCTTTCGACTCATCTGGGAAGTTAAGGCCCAGCCCTCTGAGACTACCCCCCTAACAAACTTTCTCAGTGGAGGATGTTGGCCCGGCTCAGATAGCCCTAGGTGTCAGCTGAACACAGAAAGGACGGGACCCAAAGAAAGGAGACAGGAGCACATGGGGCTGGCAGCAGTGCCTGGACCTGATCTTTCTTGTTGGGGTACCTGTTTGTAGCACAGTGCTGTGTGCGACATAGCTCTCATTCTGTTCACTTACCATCTGAGTCTCTGCCCATCTGTGAGCACTACATGGAGCGGTGCCTGGTGAAGCCTCAAAGAGCAGGAGTTAGCTTGTCCTCAGACGTCATCACTTACAGCTCAGGTCATGTGACCTCCTTGCCAGGTGGAGTGGCTCGTGTATCAGATGACATGGTCTCCTTAGAAGTGCTGAGCAACCTGAACTGGCTAGACACAGGAAGTGTTGCTTTATCTTGGGAGTGTCCCTTTGTCCAGAGGAGGACTTGGCAGGCATTTGCGGCTTGCTGTCTATGGATACAGGACAAGTATCCATTTGGAAAACACCATGCTGGAACAGTGACAGGGCTTCACCAGGGCCCCTCTGGGCATCCCATCTCCACCAGGTTACAGAAGTCTTCACTGTGTGAAACAGAGTAATAATGGTCACAGAGTAATGTGCTCAGCATGCACTTGGAATAAACATCCTCAGCGCTAACTCTCCTGAAGGCTGTGTGCTTATCTCCCAGCCCCCATTTACTTAGAGACCCAAGACTGCATTTGGCCTGCAAGTGGATATTCACTTTTACCTCTTTGCAGGTGGACAGACTATATACCTTGGAGAGCCTGCACCATCAAGAGGAGCATCCCACCCCTCTCCTGTTTGGTAGGTGTTGCTCACTAAGCCTGTAGTCTCTGTTCCTTTAGGAGGGGAGGGGAGGGGTTGGTATAGGGAGCAGTTCATACTGCTTTTCCCTGACTGGGCTTCAGATAGGGGTGGGAATACATTGAGGGAGGCAGTACAGGAGTACTGCAGTTGGCTGTTGTGTGTGGAGGTCAGTGTATCCAGGAGTGTTGGAGAGGGACAGCTACTACCCTTACTTCTCTGAGGGCACCAGAAGGTAGGGGTGTCCCTGTCTGCTTGTGCCTGGCAACTGCCCAGCTTCTAGCTGCTGTTTTGAGCTACTGTGCCTAGACCCTGGGCTGCAAAGCCATTGTTGACTTAGCTCTTTAGGACCTGCCTGGATGGACTGGTTGTTGAGCACACTGATTGTGTCACTGCACAAAGGCTGTTGGCTCCTGGAGTGCTTCTGCAGGACTAACACAGGCCTGAGGGTGTGAGCCCATAACACATGAACCTCTTTCAAAGTCCCCCACCAACTGTGTCTTCCTCAGGGTCACTGTACCCATCTCCATTAATGTAAATCTGATTTTTTCCTAGATTTTGATGGGCATAAGTGAGACCCAGCTGGTTGAGCTAAGTAAGTGTCCCATTTTGGGACTAGCTTACCCTCTACCCTGGCTAGCCTCTCTGCTGCCACCATAGCCCTGCCCCAGGCACCTTATCTCCATTACTTCAGTCTCCTTAGGTCTCTGGCCACTCAGAGATGGGAGCACTGCTCACTCTGGCTTCTTCTGCAGGCTCGCAGCTGATGCTGACAGCAAGCCCAGACCCTGCCATCTTCCCCTATGGATATTCCACTGCTCCCACCCTCGCCCAGCCACCACTGTATGGCTTCAGCATATGTAATGAACCCTCAGCAGCCATGTCCCCTCTGCCAAGTTATTAACCTCCCTCAAGGAGTGTCACCCCAGAAGCACAGAGTATCCTAATGGGAACTGGGGACACCTGGACTTTATTTTTGCTGAGTCCTGATGATGATGGCCGCTTATGTGCACTTCTGTGCCTGGGGAAGCCAAAGATAACCTCAGAATGACTGAGAAGACCCACTCTAGGCCCTCCAGCTGAAGCCAGGCATTCTTGGAGAGCTCTTGTGTGCAGAGACTCTTTGGCGATTAGGGGGTGTGGCGCCCGCACTCCACTCCACATTGGCAGAGCTGCCCTCTCCAGGCTACTTTGCAACACAACGGAACTAGCTGTGAGCTTCCTGCAGATCCTGAATATTAAAGTCTGTTTATCAAGGCAAAGCTTCCCTGCTTGGTGCTGGTGTGGATGGGACACAAAAGATTTACCGAGATCTGTTTACGGGTGGGGGATCTGTGCCTGCCCTGGGAACACATTTGTACTTGGGGTCTTTTCTGATCATTCGCAATGCACAACCGCAATCCCTAAGGGGGGCGGTAACCGGACATCGTGTGAAGAAAAGCCAAATCCTCAAATAGTTGGATTGGGCTAGCCCCACGTGTCTCGGAGAGGGTTTTGCTCCTCTCTTCCCCTCATCTCCGGGGATCACGTCGCTCGTGGCAGATGCGCACACCCGGGCACTAAATTCTTCCCGCACCCGGGCTCGAGATCTGGACGGGTTTTAAAAACTGCACCTTGACACACAGCTCTCGGCC